TTGCTTTCCTTACTAAATCTAGAACTTCCACATTTTAAAGAAGCATTTTTTGGCTTCTCTTTAGCTATCCAAATTGCCAACATACACTTTTTTTTAATTGATTTTTAGAGAGAAAGGGAGAGGGATAGACAGAAACATCATGGATCACCTGCCTCCTGCACATCCCCTACTGGGGATCCAGCCAGCAACCTAAATATGAGCTCTGACTGCTGGTGGGAATGCAGACTGGTGCAGCCACTATGGAAGACAGTATGGAGTTTCCTCAAAAAACAAAAAATGGAACTCCCATTTGACCCTGTGATCCCACTTCTAGGAATATATCCCAAGAAACCAGAAACACCAATCAGAAAGGATATGTGCACCCATATGTTCATAGCAGCACAATTCACCATAGCTAAGATCTGGAAACAGCCTAAGTGCCCATCAGTAGATGAATGGATTAGAAAACTGTGGTACATCTACATGATGGAATACTATGCTGCTGTAAAAAAGAAGGGCAGGCAGAGGGGGTTAGGGGCAGGCAGGCAGGTGAGCGGTTAGGAGCCAGCGGTCCCAGATGGCAAAAGGCAGTCGGACATCCCCTGAGGGGTCCCAGATTGGAGAGGGTACAGGCCGGGCTGAGGGACACCCCCCCCCCTGCACAAATTTTGTGCACCAGGCCTCTACTCTTCTATATAATAGCCTAGGTCAGTGGTCGGCAAACTCATTAGTCAACAGAGCCAAATATCAACAGCACAACGATTGAAATTTCTTTTGGGGGGTGGGGGGGGAAGGACACATATGTAATACCCTTTGTAATACTTTTAGCAATAAAAAAAAAAAGAAAAAAGAAAAAAATCTAAAAAAAAAAAAATATATGCGCTCTGACCAGAAATCGAACCAGGTTCCTCTTGGTTCACGGGTCTATGCTCAACCACTGAGCCACACCTGCTGGGCCAGCATCAATAGTCTTGAACTTTGTTAAGTAAATAAGGGCTACTTGAACACCAGCACTGTTCTTCTGATAACTGAGATGGTTACTAAAGTGATTAAATGGGTGGGTAACATACACAGCGTGGATACACTGTGATTCACATCCTGGGCAGGACAGAGTGAACAGCATGAGATTTCATCACACTACTCAAAATGGTACACAATTTAAAATTTATGACTTGTTTATTTCTAGAATTTTCCACTTAATATTTTCCGACCAGAAAGCAAAAACTTGGATAAGGCGTACAACTGTAATCTCTATAGGTGTAGGTATGATTGTTTGAGGTCTTTTTTCTCCTCCAAGCAATACTTTGTAAATCAAACTAAAGAAATTGAGGGTTTCTCATAATAAGATAGATTTTATAAACACTAAAAAGAAAGCAATATCATTTCATTAGAGGGATGATTTCAGAAAAATAAAGAGCTACATATATTCCAGAATATATAGTACTTGGGCTTTGTAACTTGTTTCACAACTGCATTATCAACTGATTGGACCAGCAAGCACCAATAAGAAACACATAGCTTATAATAAAACATTTTTGTCCATATCATTCTCAATCTTCAGAAAAAGAAAAAGTAGAACTTTTTAAGTAAAATTAAATTAACAATAGTCTCAAAGACCTTCAGTTTCCATGCCATTAGCCTTCAAAACAGTAAAATCAACCCTTTGGAGATCCATCAACTCTCCCTTCTCCTATATAATAAAAGGGTAATATGCAGAATGATCAGTTGCTATGACGCACACTGACCATCAGGGGACAGACGCTCAGCGCAGGAGCTGCCCCCCCAGCTGGTCAGTGCCCCCCCCCCTCCGCTCAGCCACAAGCTGGGCTGATGCTGGCGAGCACAGCAGAAAGTGGCAGGAGCCTCTCCCACCTCCACGACAGCACTAAGGATGTCCGACTGTGACTTAGGAGTGGGCCTAAGCCGCAGTCAGACATCCCCTGAGGGCTCCCGGACTGCTAAAGGTTGCAGGCCGGGCTGAGAGACCTCCCCAACCCCCCCGCAATACACGAATGTCATGCACCAGGCCTCTAGTGAATTAATAATAGGCTTCCCATGCATTTAAAATTCTTTTTAAAATATATTTTATTGATTTTTTACAGAGAGGAAGGGAGAGGGATAGAGTTAGAAACATCGATGAGAGAGAAACATCGATCAGCTGCCTCCTGCACACTCCCTATTGGGGATGTGCCCGCAACCAACATACATGCCCTTGACTGGAATCGAACCTGGGACCCTTGAGTCCGCAGGCTGACGCTCTATTCACTGAGCCAAACCGGTTAGGGCGCATGCATTTAAAATTTTTACCTCTGATCCTAGACTCAGCTCTATTACAAGTTAACATGTTTAAGTACAGAAAGAAATCCATGAAACACCCAATTTTATCATCAACTGGTACCAGCAGTCTTTCCAAAACTATGACCAAAAACCTAAATATTTAGTCTTCTGGAAAAGATGGGAGAAAAAAACTGCCCAGAGTCTTAACGAAAAAGACAGCAACGCCATGATAACAATTAGCACGTCAGTGAAAGCCTCCAAATGTTGACCCTCAAATTCATGTTTCACCACCAAAAAGACACAAACAATTTTGCCTAGACTGTTGGAAATCCGCCTCATCGGGAGAGTTTAAATAGGAGTGCCTTAAGAATCCGCTAAAGCTAATGCTCTTTGGAGAGAAACAGCTAACCAATGACTCTTGTGTCAAGCAGATGACAAACCAAAGGAGACAGCTTCCACCTAAGAACAGAAGAATGCTTTCTGAGAGCTCTACTTCTCCTTTTAAAAATTATTGTTTACGGTTCCTCTTTTTTTTACTAGATTCTGACTCATCTGATGATCACTAATGGTTTCTCAGTATGCCCTAAATATATTTTCATTGTTATCACATTTTTAATCTATGAGTCTTTCACTGTTACCTAAGAGAATGTAAGCCTCCCTGTAATCCCCAACAAAATTTAACACGTGTTCCCTGAAAAAAATCCAACAAATTTCCTTCCTTCTGAAAGACACTTATGTATTCAAATGTTCTTCATATTATTAAATCTAATCTTCCGTCTTATAAAATTAGACTTTGATGCCAAGTCATTACAACAGTTTCAGTAGAAACGTCAGTACCAGGAGTTAGGGCTGATATTGGCGTTACCCTTGCTATAGCAGCATTCTTTTGGCAAATCTTCATCTTTTGGCATCCTGAAATTTCCATCTCATTGCAATAAATGAGAACCAAATGTAAAATAACTGTAATAAATGTTACTACTGCTTGTTATATAAAGTCGCCACTCTTCGTGAGCACATGGAAAGACTTTTTAGATGTCCTTGCAGTTATCTAAGAGCCTTGTGACAAGTTTTGGGCAATGATCTGTGAGCAAAAGTGGCTTATGTCACTTCCTGCTTTCTACAACTAAGAATAAGTGTGAGTACACCATTCTCTCTCTTCCTCTGATGCAGCAACCCTGGGGGTTATGTGTTTCAGCTGGCTTACGAACAAGATGGGAAGCAGCTTAGGTCTCTGAGTTGCCACTTGAAAGAGAAGCACTCTATATTTTACAAATAAGTCTCCGTTATTATTGTATCATAAAAAGATAAAACATGCCTTAATCGGTTTGGCTCAGTGGATAGAGTGTCAGCCTGCGGACTGAAGGGTCCCAGGTTCGATTCTGGTCAAGGGCATGTACCTTGGTTGCGGGCACATCCCCAGTAGGAGATGTGCAGGAGGCAGCTGATCGATGTTTCTCTCTCATCGATGTTTCTAACTCTCTATCCCTCTCCCTTCCTCTCTGTAAAAAAATCAATAAAATATATATTTTTTTAAAAGATAAAACATGTGAATCAGTTGTAAGGAAATATTTATTTTGAGTTCCTATTACATCAGGCATTCTGTTAGATACCCGGTCTGGACTTCAACTAGCTTATATACAGCAACAGTTCTGATTTTAGAACTACATACCAACTATTAGTTTTATAACATAGTTTTACTTCACAACATAGTTTTACTTCAATTGAAACTGAAAAGGTGACATTTTAAATAAAATGCATACAAGGTAATATAAAATGGATGAGGCGATAACTAGACAAAAAGACGTTTATCTTCTAGTTTGTACTTAAATGAAAAAAGTGAATGTTTTTCTAACTATTTCATCTTAGGGCTCCTGGTAGTCATTCTCATTCTCTTCTCAAGTTCATGTCCTTTTCAATCTGCCCATTCCTACAACCAAACCATCTTCTCGGTAAACATAACTCCTACTTTAAAAAGTGCAGAGGCTGGATGGTAAGAGCATTTCTGAGTAAAATGGATGTTTTCATGGGGAGACTGGAATTTAAATATGTGCAGTCTTTCTCACATTCTCAGAGTTATTTCCAATTCACAACATAAATAATGACTTGTACAAAGTTAAAAAGATGTAAGTGTGAACAACTTCTCAAAGAATAAATAAAATGAATGGAATGGACCTTTTTTTAATGTTTCAGGTCAATGTGAGAATAAGTCGCTGCTTTCCCAAATTATGGTACAACGTAATTTGAAATGTTCAATGAAAAGAGGACTCAGCAGTCAAGTAAGTTAGTAAACACTATATGTTCTAACACCTTTGGAGCACATTTAAAAACTAAGACGTTACACAATAAAGAAAACTGCTTAATCTTTTGGCAGAATCTTTCCGAAACTATTTGACCACAGATTGCCTTTGGGAATTAATAACTCTTAATGTCCTCTCGGGGGGAAAAACATACTTTGAAATATATTGCATGATTAGAGAAAGATATTTTGTTGAATAAATATATTTTACATTATTTATACTAAAGCTGGGGGGGAGAGTTACCTCTTTGTTTTTACTTCCCTATAAATTATCCTTGTATTCTTTTTAGATTTCTATGGGCTAATTAAAGGACAAAGTACCAAACTCATAATCTAACAATTTTCATTTCTAAGGGGTAATATTCCAAGGGCAGCATTTTAATATAGACTCTTTAGTATGTTACACTATCAGAGATAATATTTAGTCTATGCAGATCAGCTTACTTACGTCTGGGGCTCCTTTTCATTTTGTTGTTTTTGCTGGGGCTGAAGCACGTTATTTACCAGTTCAGTGATCCCACTAAAGGGAAACCACCTGTTTGAATAAGCAAATAGTGTGACTGAATAACCAAAGGAATAACAAGGTAGGCCAAACGCTTTCTTACCCATCATAATAAAAATACACAGGCACAGAAGCTACAGCCAATGGACATGGGAGCTCCAGCTAGCACCCAGGCAGTCGGAAGGTAGGGAAATCAAGTTTGAACACTGAACCAGACCACAAGCAGGCAGCGAAAAACTACTACATCCAGTCAGTGTGTGGATGAAGTAAGAAACTGCAGGCAGCTGTCTTACCAGCCAGAGAGTCGGGAAGCAGAAGACACGCCAGCTGCAGCCTCTCCAGTATTAGTGTAAGCTAATACCATCCCGGGTGCCGGAAGCAGATATGGCAAAGGTACAGAAGTCAAGCCCACTGCACTCTTAGGACATTTACTTACTGTGTCGGCTGGGGCTTGTGCTCTTCTTTGACCCTAAAAAGATAAGTTTGCGCAACTGAGTGCACGATACTAGGCAGACATTTCTATCTACAGATTTGTGGTCGTATGAAAACTGAGGTTTGTTACATGGAAAAGCTTAGTGCTTTGCCAAACATTGGAATTACCCATTTGAGTTAATTTGGCACCAAAAAAATAAAACAGAAGTGGAAGCGTTTGTTCTTAATAGAGGACTAATATTAAAACTCTACTGCTGTTCCAAATGATTTCATGATTTAGTCCTCACGTTTTCTGCATATTTTATTGATATTGATGCTTTTAAAATAATTACTTTAAGGTACCCCATTAAACACAGTTACATTTGCTTTACTGAAGATAAACGGATTTCCTCTTTATTTTTAAAATTTCTTCATTAATGTAAATTGAAGGCATAAAATTTTAAATAAAACGTAAGGTTCTATAAATGTATTTTTAAAGCCTTGCAAATGACTATTTGCTGCTTAAAGGGGCAGTTAAAGGAACCGGAGGAGAGGGGAATGTATCCAATCTACCTAAACATAGCTACTAAAATAAGTACATATATTAAATTTAAAATATTCATAAGCTAAAGTAAATTATTCATATAACTATAACAAACTAAAAACGCATTTCAACCATAATCAACTCAGTGCTTCCCTGAAATAGCACTGGATGTTTAAAGGGTAGAGAAAGATCAGACACAAGTGCAGTGATGCCTCTGAAATTTGGCTTCTCACACTCTGCGTAGGACTGGTCCTGAGAGGCAAACCTAGGACTCAATTGTGAGTTGATTATCTTTCACTTTCCCAAAGAAAGACTAAGAATTGGTAACTAAAACTGGACACCAATAGCTAGGACTTTCTTTAGGAAGTTATATTAATACTCTTAATTAAATTCTCTTTAAATCATATTGATTTTCTTTTCCAGTGTGTTCTTATTTTTAATGCTATAAGCAATAAATGAAAAGGTATACCCTTATACACCTTTGTATCCCAATGAATAAATATAACTGGTAAATTATATATCTCTATATTAACAAAAAGAATCCTCTGTAGTCTGCATATACTTCAAAAAGTGTAACAGGTTTAGCCTAAAGCTAAAGCCATATCATGTCGTATGTACATAATTATATAATTAATTAGTATAAAAGGTTATATTTAACACTAAATATCGTATTTAGCAAACAAGCAAACTAGTGATATTAGATTCTATCTAGAAAAGTTATCATCGTATTTCTTTGAGAACAAAAAATTTCTTAACATTTTAAAACAAATGACAAAGAAAGATTATCATACCAGCTCATCAAACTAGAGAATAATTCAAGATTACCCTTAACCAAATAATATGTATGCTAAAAACAACAAATATTGAAATAAATGTATAAATTAGAAATATTTATTTTTTTAAAATCCTGAGTGGTACTCTGAAAGGAATCATGTTGTTCTTAATTAATGACAAAAGTTTTTATCATAAATAGATATTAATCTATAAATCAGTTTCCCATTTCAAATCTTTACTTGAAAAAAATTAATAGATGCAAAAATTTTAATTACCAATTCAGGAATTATTTCTGGGATTTGTAAAATATCTATATATAAGATATGTGAACATTTCTATCAGCTTCCCAAATATGTATCATAATATGGCACTATAAACATTTATCCTGTCTTTAAATACGATCACAAGTATAAAATTATTCTCCGTTTTACCAACATTTTAGATAAAATCAAACCTCAAAGTATCTGACCATAGTTAAAATTCATATTGAGATAATAACTTAAGAACTGGTAATATGAAAAAGTAATTATATATTTCTTTGACAATACACTGACATTATTAGCAATGAACTTCTACATTTCTGCATTTCAAAAAAAGTATGAGATGTCCAGTTTCCAGTCTGATATATGAAGACTCTGGAAATCTTCACTCCTATCCTTACAAGAAACAAAAAAAAAGTTGAACAAACTGAAAATCAGTAACTCTTAAAGCCATAAGAATGTAGGTTCACAGGGCAAAGTGCTGCCCTGAAAACTAGAGAAACAGACGAGCAGGGAATCACAACTGACCAAAAATACAGGCCCAGGAATAGAAGCCCACGCCTGGAGCCAGTATCTGTAGGAACACTTTTAACTATAATTGCCCGATGGACTTGTAAACGAGATAGAACTTTTAAAACTCCAAGGTATCCCAGTCTTGGGCACTTCCATAAATTTTACCTCCAAGAGCCCTACCAGTTGCTCACAGAAAAGAGCACATAAAAATCTCCTCCCGCATCCAGCAGGTGGAAGGGGAAGTGACCTCTTTGAAACACTCCCAAGGCTCTCTACTCTCCTAACAATCCTGGAGTCAAGGGAGACTATTTTACCAGAGTCTAACCAACTGGGTTTGACCAAAATCAAACAAGCCAAGTAAGGTGACTACCCAATCACATGCCCCTCTAACCTTCAATGTGGGCGAAGGAAAACACCAACCTACAAATGAAGGATTATATAACTGTACACCTGAAACCTATACAATTTGATGAACTAATGTCACCCCAAGAAATTCAATTTATAAATAAATAAATAAGAAAATAATACAGTAATCCTATCTAATAAAAGAGAAGCATGGTAATTAGCTGTACGGCCGCTACCCTTCCCATTGGCTAATCAGGGAGATATGCAAATTAACTGCCAACCAAGATGGCAGCCGGCAGCCAGGCAGCTGACACTTCAGTGATGGAGGAAGCCAAGCTTCCCCGCCTGCCTTGCCGGCCTCTCAGCTGCTCTCTAAGCAACATTGTAACAAATATAGAAGCTAAACAAAACCCGGGCTTCAGCCAGCAGGACCGCAACATTGTTTCAAATACAGAAGGTAAACAAAGACCAGAAACCTGCTTTCAGCAGCGGAGGTCTCATAGCTGGAGCTGAGCCTCAGAGGTAAAGCTGGCCCAGAATAAAAAAAAAAAGGAAAAAAGGACAGGTTGGGAGCGTCAGTCACCCGCCAGCCTGAAAACGGCCCTCAGCCCCTCACCCAGGCTGGCCAGGCACCCCAGTGGGGACCCCCACCCTGAAGGGGGTGTGACCAGCTGCAAACAGCCATCAGCCCCTCACCCAGGCTGGCCAGGCACCCAAGC